ACAGTTTTGGGGGAGTTATGGTTGTATTTTACGTTTACATTTGTGTTAGTGATGATTTCCTAAAGTTAAAACCATATGCTCGCACGATTCTCCGTTCTCCAACTGCAATGGAATGTTTTTCACTCTGTATTTTTCGCTCTCACTCAGTTCTTCATGCATCACGTCATGGTGGCACGCATTGTTTCCTCCCCAGAATGCACTGTGCAAGCCACTTCCATGCCACATAGACCTCCCTAAAACTGATTCTGAATGATTTTTGAACAAATTCTGTAGCTTGTGGTTGCACTGCACAAATTATGTTCATGGCAGGTAAGAAAATAGTTAATATTTCTTCCCAAATTATCAGTTATCATAGGGAACAAGAAAAAATATTTAAAGTATGATTTCATAGTAAACTTCTACGAGCAAATGAGCAGTGTTGGGAGTAATGTATTATAAAAGTAATGTATTACAGTAATGCGTTGATTTTTGCTGTAACGCAGTAATGTTCGGCATTACAGGGGGAAAAATTTTAATATTTTACTCGGTACAAATGTGAGTAACACGTGTTACAATGCTTTTTTAACCTGGATTGAAGTGGTGGGTTTTTCTTCATAGAAATTTGCTAAAATCACCGTGAAATCAGCAGCGGTGAAACGCCGGAGACACGGCCGGATAAACCTTCAGTTAACCGCGGGTGAAAGGACCGACCCAGAACTCTACGCTGTTTAGACCTGGTTTTTGACCTGGTTTAGACCTGGGTCACTTCTGGTTTAGACCTGGTTTACAGTCGTCCCTCGCTCTAACGCGATTCACTTTTCGTGGTTTCGCTGATTTTTAGAATTTTTTTTTTGTGCAATTTTGCATGCCTTTTGTTTTTAGTGTATGAACACGTATTGCGTTCCTCCCGCTGTGTCCTGATTGGCTAAGGGACTCCTGTCTCCTGAACAGTACAGTACAGAATGTGTTCAGCTGCCAAATTTAAATAAATGTTCAATCTCTAGCAGTGTGCTTCTGAAGTGCTGTATGTCTGCAAGTTTTCTCTCCGACAAAATCCACAACGTCGACGAAACTCACACCCAAAAGGCAGAGGACGATGCAAACCATCGCACAAAAAGTTGAACTTCTGGACACGTTGAAGGAAGGTAGAAGTTACGCGCTGTAGCAGAGTTTTGTACCGGGTCATGTACCCGCAAATAGTTGCTGAAATCAGGACCGTGAGCCCGAGCAGCAGGGTCCATAAAGCGCGATCGGGCAACAGCAGCTCTTACCTCCATGAGGTGCGGAGCAGAGCCGCTCCTTTCTCCTGCGGTCACCTTCGAGCCCGTCCTGACAGTGAGTCCTGTTTTAGTCCTAGTTCAGTTCTGGTTTAGTCCTCCTCTTCAGTCCTGGAATCAGTCTGAGGTTAGTCCTGTTATAGTCCTGGTTTAGTCCTGGTTCAGCTCTGGTTTAGTCCTGGTTTAGACCTTGTTTAGTCCTGGTTCAGTCCATATACGGCTCAAAAGTTCAGCTTTTTCGCAGTTATTTTGGTGAGAGTAACTTAAAGTAATGCAATAGTAAAGTAATGTCTTACATTTTAAATGCAGTAATATTGTAATGTAACGAATTACTTTGAAATGACAGTAATAAGTAATAAATAACACATTACAGTTTTAAAGTAACTTGCCCAACAGTGCAAATGAGGATTATATTGGTATTTCAGACTGAAAAAATATGTGCTGCTTCAGGAAGATCGGTAAAATGACATAAACAAGGCCTGACGTCTGGTCACGCTACATTCACATTTTGTTTAATTGCAGTGTTGAAAAGGTGACTTTTAAAATGTAATCCCCTACAGATTACAGATTACATACCCCAAAATGTAGTTTGTAACATACTCCATTAAATTACTTAAAGTGAGTAATGTAATCTGAATACTTTGGATTACTTGATTGAGAAGCAAAGACTAGGAGATCATAACATAAGATGTTTTGCCTGATAAAAGACAATGAAAGGGCTGAGTCTTTACTTAACCGTATTAAAAATATTATTGATAGACGATGAGGAGACACAGTCCACCAGTGTTGTGCATGAACGAGTTCAAAAGAACGCATTCATTTTTCAGTGAACTTTGAACTGAACGCAACACTTTTGTAAATCAAGAACTTGAACGTGAATTTGTTCAAATTATGTGTGATGAACGACGTACGTCACTGTTGGGCTTCAGTTAAACGTCGGAATTAGTTTTCAGCTCGCACTTCACCTCGCGAAACCACAGCCGCGTGTCAACGCGAAGGCGACTCCACCGGCAGCTTTAGTGGAACGTACGGGCTCTTGTGTCTCTCAATGGGAAAGTCAATCAAACTTGACTGGGCGCGTTTAGCTGCTTGTATTTACCTTCTGTACAGGCTGACCACGGCAAACGCAAGGATTTCAAAAGTAAATTTCAAAGCACTAATTAACAGTCTATGTGGATCTGGGCTCTTTCACATGATACACAACTGCCCAGGGAGCACAATGTGCTGATGGTAAATGCACAAATACAATCAATAATAGATACATGCTCTCTGTGGATTTTGACGGGGATACGCGCCTACGCTCGTGTAGAGCGTCAAAAAATAGGATGGATCCTATTTTCTGAAATCTACACGCACAGGACATGCTGCTCGCGCGTATTATTTTACTTGGTACATATGTCAGTAACGCGCGTCACAATGCTTTTTTTAACCTGGATTGAAATGGTGGGTTTTTCGTTTTTCTTCATACAAATTTGCTAAAATCACCGCGATATCAGCAGCGGTGAAACGCCGGAGGTTCGCCTGCGTAGACCGTGATCCTGAGCGAAAGGACCGACGCAGAAGTCCACGCTCCACCGAGATAAACGCAGCTGACGCCCGATCACACTCGGGGTTCACTCAGGGGCGGTCCGAGATTCCAAGTTCTAGTCCAGGATTAGTCCTGGTTTGGTCCTGGTTTAGTCCTGGTTCAGTTCTGGTTCAATCCTGGTTTAGACCTGGTTCAGTCCTGGTTCAGTTCTGGTTTATTCCTGGTTTAGTCCTGGTTTAGTCCTGGTTTGGACCTGGTTCAGTTCTGGTTTAGTCCTGGTTTGGACCTGGTTCAGTTCTGGTTTAGTCCTGGTTTAGTCCTGGTTCAGTCCATATACGGCGCAAAAGTTCAGCATCTTAACAGTTCTTTTGGTGAGAATAAATTAAAAGTGCTGCAATAGTCATGTAATGTTTTACATTTTAAATACAGTAATATTGTAATGTAACAAATGACTTTGAAATGACAGTAAGAAGTTATAAATAACACATTACAGTTTTAAAGTCACTTGTCCAACAGTGTATCTTGTAAAGTTGTTGTAAACTAGAAGTCAGTTTGAAAAATAAAAGCAGCCTTTCATTTACAGTCGCGCCATCACTGGAATGAATCTCCAAGAATCACCTTAGTTTGGCTTCGCTGCTTTTCCCCTTGTCTTCTTCTTTCAGCGACCTCAAAAATGGACTTTCTTTTGCGGCGAACTGCTCCTGGATTCTTGTCGCCATTGCAACAAACTTTGTGCGAACTGCGAGGAAGATATAGGTCAAAAAAAGCCGCTAAGAACTGTTGCGTTGGTGGAGTAAACAGCGTCTGTGCGTCTTGCGACAGGCGTACGTAAACCACGTAATGGCAGCGCGCAGGCAAGTCAGTTACGCTAGAAACGTAGGGAGTTTGATTGACAGCCTGTCAGCTCACAGATAACGAGGCAGTGTCGTTATCTATTGGCAAATGTTTAGCCCCACCACGTCCAGAGTTGATGAATTTTTATTCTCTTTTTTTTGGTCATCATAATTACAAGGCTACTGCATCTCTATAATCTATCATTGACAATTTGAAACAAAAAAAAATCCTCCATACAACCTTTAAAGTGTTTGCATTAACCCACTCTACATGATAGTGGTGTTTTCATTTCACTATTTTTCATGTAATCGTAACCGTTCATTCATTCATTTGGCTGGAGCTGAACGCGACGGGTGACACCACACTCACGTCTTTACACAGACTCTGGGTGTATGTGGTTTCTTGATGCTTTGAGTGCCTTGAAGGTAACAATATAAATTGTGATCATTTACCTGAGAAAATTCAAATAAATAGATATTTTACAGACCCATTAACTTCTTATTTATCACATTTTACCACAATGCACGATGTAAAGGGCATTTACCTTGACAAGAATAAATTAAAAGCAAGTAAGACCTAAGAAATTTAATATAATAAAAATCACACTGTGGTGGTTTACACCAGTGTTTCCCAAACTTTTTTTCTGGGGACCTATATTTTCAAAGTCACAAACCTTTGCGACCCAAGTCAATAGATATTATTCATAAATCACAAAATAAAGTTAGATTTGACCATTACTGAACATTAATGAAGATATTTTATTGTTGACTGAGTGATCGTGTCTCTGAACAATTAGTTTTACTCAAGTTTTAAACTATTAAAAATAGTAATTGAAGCAGCAATAAAAATATCCATAAGTTGCCTATTTGGACATTAAATGTGGAACATTTCTTTTTCTTTTCAACATTCAATTGAACCAGCAATATTGGAACAAAACAGTCAGTAAAATAATTACAAAAAGAAACTATACAAAACACATTCAACATTACAGTCTACATGCAGATGGTGACAAGGCGACCCACCTGAGGGTCACGACCCAGTCTTTGGGAAACAATGATTTACACAGTCTATCATGACTGCAGTTTGACCGGTAGCTGTGGCAGCTTGTTGATAAGCGCCCAGCCCCCTGCCAAACCAGCGAGGGGGATGGAGTGAGAACCTTCACGAACTTCACTCCTGGTGGGTTCTGTGATTCCAGATTTGTAATGGTTGCCGATTAGCCACGTTAACTGCTATAGCAGCTTGTCTGCATCCATGACAAATTGCAATGTAACTAACTGTAAATACTCTTAACATTTTGAAGATAGCTTTGTTGTAATTTCTTTTTAAATGGATTGTTTTTCTGTGTTGGCTCACATCCAAATGTCTCCTTGTTCTTGCAGTTTTCCCAACACCTCTTTTCCCAACACCGTGGAAAAGGACTGTAACCACAGCTTTCTCAACAACTGGAACAACTGGGTCCCTCCGTACATCTACGTCATCACCGCTCTGGGCATCCCCCTCAACCTGCTGGTGCTCCTGGTCTTCCTGCTCCACAAGAAGAAATGCTCCGCCACCGAGATCTACCTGTGCAACATGGCCGCCGCCGATCTCCTCCTGATGGTCTTCTTGCCTTTCTGGGGCGTATACCAGGCCAATTATCACGTCTGGACTTTCGGTGGACCTACGTGCACAGTTGTCAGTCTTCTAATGGTCATGAACTACAACTGCAGCATCTATTTCCTTGTCCTGGTTTGCGCTGACCGTTTTTTAGCGTTGGTTTACCCGCTGACACAGTGCAAACTGCGTAGACGTAAATACGCAATGTTGGGTTGTTTTTTGGCTTGGTGCTTGGGTCTGCTGCTAAACATCCCGACTCTTATGTGCAAAAGAGCCATATTATATGACAACAAAACCTTTAGTGACGGTATAGAGGAATACACATGCCAGTGGAATTGTTCCCCGGATTTTTATTTCACACATGAGGTGATACAAACCATTGTGGCGTTTGTTATTCCATCTCTCATCATTTTATTCTGCACTGTTAAAATCCTCCAAGTGCTGAGAGCAAGGCCTAGCAACGAAGACAGCACACTACAAAAGGAACACAAAGCCACCGTTTTAATTCTTAGCGTGTTGTTGGCGTTTTTCATCTGCTGGTTGCCGTTTAGCTTAACTAGAATGATAGAGCAAGCGGTAAGATACAAACTCATTCGGGAAACGTGCAGCCTAATACAGCACTTGTATATCTGCAGACTTCTCTTCGTCAACTTTGGGTTCTTCAACAGCGTTCTTAATCCCATCCTGTACGTCATCGTGGGTAAGAATTTTCGGAAGAAAATGAGAGAGGTGGTGGGAGGCCGTGAGTCATTTAAAATTCCCAGCACTTTGTTCACCACATCCACTGTCAGAGGATCTTAGAATCTGTAGTTTCTGTCCAGCCGTCCGTCTTGGGGCTCCCCACTGGTGTGAGAGGTGCGGTATAGGGTAGCCGTGGCGTCTTAAAAGTCTTAAAAAGGTCTTAAATTTCATGTTCCTAAATTATGGCCTAGATAGTAATAGAGACGTCCCAGTGGATTTATCCAAAACTTCCAAGCTCTCCTTATTTTTGATCAATGTTTTGATCAATTACCCGTCAACAGTTAAGAGACGGAGTGTCATTTGTTGAGCTAAAACACAGAAAATTGTAATTGAAAATGGTACCGACAGAAGTTTGTGTATGATTTATGATTTTACTAAAAAGCTTGCCTAGTTTGCATTGTGTTTTAATTGTTGTAAAGTATAGTTTTACCTCCTGGTTGGACACGGGGAGCAGATATGACAAACGTAGAGGTAATTCCATAACTATTATCAGCTACACAGTTACTAATGACCACAACAGACTACGTATAATTGTATTTAAAATATAACCGTCAAGTAATTAAAACATTTCTCATTGCTTTTTAAATGCTTTTTTGTAACTTTTGTACTTTTCGTCGCCACTTTTTCCCTACAAGCTGCCACATAACCGATGTAAAACGATGTAAAACTTAAACGATATGAAACTCTTATTGTGTTTGTTAGTTGGCCGCTGTGTTGGAGCTCCAGGGAGGGCGCTTGGTATAAAACATAAATAGAGTTGGCGTGGTGACTGCTGCTGAAGGAGCGGATTTAGCTGTGTTGACATAAGACTCCAGTACTTTGTTCGTCTTTGTCTGTATATGTTAATCTCATTAGTGTTAGAATGGAGGCATGAAGCCAACATATCCTGTTTCATTAACAGTTTGTTTTTATAGGCTCAAAAACAGTCCATAAATTTCCAGTCTGGACTCTCTGCCATTCACATGTATCTATGAGAATGTTATGGCATTAATTGGAATATTCCCTAAAATCTCAGCATCTCACCTGGAGGCGGGAACATTCTATGGGAATCTACTTTTAAATTGTGTTTTCAGTTTTACCTGAGCTGCTGCTTTCAGGCTTTTTGACAAAACAAAGTTTCAATTAGACCTACAATTATATGAAAAACACATCCAACTTTTCTTTGATTTTCCACTGATGCATCAGAGGCACCATTTTCCCCCAAACACACTTCAGACAAATAACACACTCAACGTGTTGAGTTTTGACAATACTTTTGTCACAGTCTGGTCAAGATTGGTAAAACTGAGCTGTGAGATTTACAGGGTTCCCAAAAGTCATAGAAATTATTATTATAGTTATTTTCCAGGCCTGGAAAAGTTATGGCATTTTAGTATCTCTTTCACATAACTACAGCATTCTGTTAAGTTCTCATTAGGCTATTATGATTATTTCTGAATGTCTGCACCTTTTATTTAAAAGAGACGACAATAAATGCACTGACAGGATTTTGAATGTTAAAAAACTATAATCCCAAACCAGATTGTTCTGTCTCTGGAGCCGTTTTCCATCGGATTAGTGTGGACAAACATTGCATCCGCAACGAAAACGACTCGAATACACACTAGTGTGGATTGTGTCTCAAAGCGAGTGGTTTTACTGTAGACAGGAAACAGCTGGCGTGATCGCACTCACAACTTTATATCCTGTGGTCCGCAGACAGATCCCGCTGCAGTCTTTGCGATCAGAGATTTTTCCTCATGTCTGTGGTGTGTGCTTTTTGTCGCACGTTTAAAAATCGCTTAAGGCCGAAAAATCCCGTAGTGTGGTGACCTTTACTCTTCCCTTTAGTCCTCCAGGTTCTGCCCAGTCTAGCAGCTCGATTTGAAATGTGGTTGTGGGTGGAGTTTAGGGATTTATTCTGTGTTCCATTTATTCTCTGAGGTCGGAACTCAGTATAACTCAGAGAAACAGCAATAAATCCTCGGAAAGTGTTCAAATCTGTCAAAACCCTGGTCAGTTTTTTTTTAAGTCAGTGTATTAACCCTGACACTGTGACGGAGTCGACCCATCAGCTGCACGGGGAGGCCAGGGGGCCAAAATACACTCGCACACGCACACGCTCGCACCGATGTTTCACTTACCTGCTCGTTTACCGCCATTCCTTAAGGTTTCCACACATCTCCATTTGCTGCACAAACATTCCTTTCTCCATAGCCATTCTTCAGTTTCAAACTTTCCTCCATTTCTGCCGCTCCTCAGCGTGTGTGTCTGTCGGCCAATCCCGATCGTTATTATCTTCCGTGTTATATTGAGTCACGTAGGGCAAGTGTGACGTCACCAAGAACGTAAGGTGACTTTCCGGTTTTCTTTATTCAATAATATTATTTTCTTTCCTGTCTATGTTTAAAGGTTATTATTTGGATATTTTTGTTTCTGGTAATGTTTATGATTTTTTTGTATTAAAAGGGGGATCCAGTTATTTCTATTTGTAGAGAAAAAGCCATTTTTGTTTGTTAATTGATTTGGGGGAGGAGCCTCGTACTATAAAAGGGAGACTCCCACCTGCACAGAGGCAGTGTGTGTTTTGAGAAGGAGAGCTGTTGCACCGCAGGCACCAGCTCAAGAACTTTTGAAGGACCACAACCTGTAAATACCTATTTTTCCAATTTTTTCACAGTTTTTGCGCACTTCTGTAAATAAATTCACAAACACTATTTTTGACTGAGCCATATTATTTCTCTTTGTTAAAAAGAACCCACGACAATTAACCCTGACACTTTTATTTCGCTGCCATGTGTGGACTATTCCAAGCGACGCAATAACATCACAACGGAGACAAGCAGGTAGTGGACCCCCTACTGAAACAAAACACCAGAGCTCTCATGTAGTCTTTGTGCTGCGTTTAGTGTCTGAAGGAGGAAACGGCGGTCGAGTTAACAGTATACATCGTTATACATTATCATATTATGGTATAATGTTAAGTGGGAATTATGAGCCCCCATACCACAGTAAAAGGAAATCTGATTGGTTTCATAATGTATCCGGGCATGTTGGTTCATTTGTGCAGTGGAAAAGTACAAACAATTACATTAGTAGAATTTAAAACCAAAATGTTATTGTACATATATTTGTGCTTGTCACTTATAGAGGGGGTATAGGGCTTGGTTTCTTTTTAGCTTCCTACTATATTATAACATTTCCGAGTGAAAAACGCGCCTGAAGAGGTTTTAGACGGACTTCATGCGCGTTTGAGTAATCTAGCGATCTCTCCTGGGCCCTATTCAAACCCTCTTTATGTTTAGCTGTGAGATTGCGTACGAGGCTCTGCCCACAAGCCTCAGCAATAATTCACAAGCGACAATTTGTCATAAATATACAAAAACATGATACAAAACTGTGCAGAGCAGCTTGAGCATTAGCGGGATGTACGGTGACTGTGTTGTGTGTGTTGTGAAGCATTTAGTATATTCAAAACAATAAAAGGTAAAATTGTGATCTAAGTATGTTGTGTGTTAGCAGTTAATACCCCAGTGAAGTCAAATTCCCCCTCTTTAAATCAGTATTCATATTTACCGTATTTTTCTGAACTATAAGTTGCACTTTTTTTATGGTTTGCATGTTTCCTGTGACTTACACTCCGGTGCGACTTATATATTAAAATATTCAAACTGACTGCTGCAAGTAGTGAAATGTGCAGCAGAAAATGGTAATCGAGGAGCAGAACGATAGTTTAGAACACAGGTGTCAAACATAAGGCCCGGGGGCCAGATCCGGCCCTCCAAGACCTTTAATCTGGCCCTCGGCTGATTTTCAACTTAAATATTTTAATTAAAATATTGGTAATTTTCTGTGGTGCTTAGCATAGCAGCGTCTCCAGCGCCTCTGTACGTGGTCCCTCCCACCAGAGCAGCACAAATGAAGACAAACTCTCTTAAAGGACGATCGTTTTGACTGTTGACCGTGACACCCTCATCAGAAAAATGTCAAAAATGAGAAAAGTGAACGCCAAGTGCAGGATTTTCCAAGAAAAATTTACTTATTCCTATTTGCATACAAGTTCATGTTAAAATATTGTGTTGAAATTGCATTTTTCTTAAAGTTTCAGGTTGTTCATAATATTATAATATTTTGTAAAAGAAAGAGAACATCAATTTAAAAAGATTTCTGTAATAGATTTGCATTTCTCTGCACAAATATTTGAATTTATTTTTATTTTTGAGGTATATAGTCCATGAGTTTTCTGATCCAGCCCCTTTGAGATCAAAGTAGGTTGGATATGGCCCCCGGACCAAAATGAGTTTGACACCCCTGGTTTAGAATGAGCAAGAAACTTGTGAGGGACTGGTAGAAAGCGGGGATTCAAAGCAACTGGGAGGATGCACTATGTAACTCTCCTGGAAGTCACTGGATGGATGGACAAAGCCTGGACGTCAGTGACAACGAGAGTCACGCGGAGTTGCTCAGAAATGACACAGGATGAAGAATTCAACGAATTCAGTGGATTTAGTGATTTGGAGTGAGATCGAGAGTTTGTTAAACGTCTGTTCTGTTGTTTATGCTATAGTTATCTGAAGAACTGTTCATATGTTACGTTAAAATATTAAGGACTATTCAGCCTGTTGTTCTTTATTCTGTTGTTATTATTATAAGATAAGATAAGGTAAGATAAGATAAGGTATGCCTTTATTAGTCCCACAGTGGGGAATTCCAGTGTTGCAATGCGCAATTCAAGAACAGCAGGGAAAAGGTAACATGCAATAAAACAGATAATAGACAATGGCTTAAAAATAGTTTAAAAATAGACAAAAAAATAATTGCACATAGATATAGTTGAATGACACATGTTCAGTGTTAACAGTGTTTGTTGTACAGTCTGACAGCAGCAGGAAGGAAAGACCTGCCAAACCTCTCCTTCACACAGCGAGGGTGAACTTGCCTTTCAAGATAAAATGTCGGTTCCTGGTCCCTGATTTTATAAAATAAATTTCCCCCAAAAAGCAGGTTTTTTTGGCTGGTGCGACTTATAGTCCGAAAAATACGGTATTTATAATGAGCCTTTATAATTTTTATAATTGTTATTCTGTCCTACAAAGGCAGAACGCTGTAACATC